AGAGTTCTGGACTATTTCAGATTTCCCTGGCAGGAAAGAGGGAGAAAAGAAACCCTGATAGAAGAAAGTGTAATTGCTATTGTATGGTATTATCTCCATATCCCATAGCAACAAATCTTATTATATTTTTTTCTTATTTAAACCATATTCATGAAGGTTTTATTGCTAACTTGATCCAGATGACTGATCAAAGCATAGTTCATTATTGCCACCTTGCTAAAATATTTTTAAAGGCAGTTTTAATATTACACTTTTATAGCTACATATTGCCATTAAGCTATTGAGTCTATTACTAGTCAATCAAGGATTTTCATTTTGTTTCAAGAGCTCCTTGGATAAACTCTTCAGAAATGTCAAAGAGATGGCGTATATGGCACCTTTTCACAGATGGTGTTCATCAGGGATTTTAGTTAATGGATAAAGTTTCAGTTTTCCATGGTTGACTTTTGGTGCTAACAAAAGTATTCCAAAGGCCCCTGCTCTTCTAAAGGCTAGGCGATAGTAAGGAAATGAATCCCGTAACATCACCAAACCTTTTATTCTTAATGAGGTAAGTAACCAGGGATGTGGAGTATTTCACCGGGTCCATTTTCCTAAAGAATGGAATATATCTTGAAGAAAAGCAGTTCAACTTTTCCAACAGCTCCAAAACTATACATTTAACCTGCTCTCCCACTCCCAAGAACAGCAACCAAAAACAAATATACAATAAGAAGGTTAAACTATCACATGAAGAGTTATATACTCTATTGGCTTATCATAGAGGCTAATTATGTACTTTTCCCTTTCATCTGTTCTAAAGTACTCTATACCCATTCTGTTCATTCCTTCATATATCCATACATTTATTTGACACACTTTTACTTACTACTTATGTACCAGACTCTGTGCAGATGGTGAGTATAAGGGTGATTCAGACATAGTGCTTCCCTCAAGAGAATTTCAGCCTAGTGGTGGAGAAGGCCAAGAAAGCAGGTGATTATGTACCATTCAGTGGGATAAGTGTCGTGATGGAAGGGAGCTTGCTTGGAGGTGGGTACGGGGTCCTGGGGAAGGCAGTGGAAGAGCACCTAATCCCTTCTGAGGCAGGCTTAGGGAAGGCATTCCTGGAGGTGATGGTGTTGAAGCTAAAATGGGTATAACTCGGGTGAAGGGAGAGAGGATGAAGAACATGACAGGAACAGAGAATAGCACATCCCAGGGATGGAGACACGGAGCATGAGAGGTGAGGTTGGGAGGTGAACAGCAAGCAGTTGCCCTGCAAGAGCTCTATAAGTTGTGGAGAAGCTGGGGCTCTTTTCCTGAGGGCAGTGGGGAGTCTCTGAGGAGCTTGAAGTCAGGAACTAACGGGGGTTGATGTCACTCCAGCTATAGACTGTGTCCAGTGGGAGGCAGGAGTGCGACGGGAGAGCTGTTGGAGGAGTCTTTCACCCTAGAGAAATAAGGTGGCGCCTGGAAGAAAGAGGAAGTGGAAAATGAAATCTGATTAGAGATGTCTCAGCAGTCATGACATAATATAGGTAAAACGAATGTAACACCCGTTAGCCAAAGGCAAACCTGTCAGGTCAGCAGTTTGATAGACACTGAAAAGGAAATAAAAATGGGCTTCAGCACATTGCTAAATGAGTCCGTGAGTTCCCAAGTGTAGCGCTGTGGAAAGCTCTCCTCTCTCTGACTCCGTATTAGTTTTCCTGGGTCTCCAGTTATGACTGCCCAGAAGAATAGCTGTTTAAGTCTCTGTGATGGGCACCTCGTGTATCTGTCAACTACAGGGATATGAACCATTGCACCCAGAGTCACCTGGTCAGCGTGTCTGGAGTTAGTTGAACAAATGCTCTCCTTGTTACAAATTTCTGCAGTTTTTTCCATCGATCTTCAGGGAGTGTTATTCATGGCTTCTTATCCTTCCAGACCATTCTTGGTTTGTTAGGAAACCAATATAATTGGGTAAGGATGAGAATAGTAATGTAGATTAAAAAAAAAAATAAGAGAGATCCATTTTCAGTTTGGTGATTAAGTGGGCTGGATTGGTGAAACTTTTTTTAGAGAAGGAAAAAATAGCAACCAGCCTGTAAGAAATCGGTCACAGTTTAGGGGATATGTTACAAGCAAGATAAATAAAAATGGTCTAGAGTATCAGGCCAAACTCTCATTATTCATCTCTGTTTCACACTCTTCTCTTCCAGTCCAGACTAATCAAAAGAAGCCTCTTCCGCTCACAATTGCTATGTGTACATTTCCCCCAGATCTGGTATTCACATGAACAACATGGTTTATTTATATTTCAGCACCAAATTGGAAAGATGACATCATTCATTTACAGTCTTTATCCCATGACATGCCTATTCTCCAACACCTCATTTCAGCAGACACATTTAGGGCTGCATATAGCATCTTGTTTAGCTTGTACATTCTTTTATGGGATACAGTTCAAAGGTAGGGAACTTTAGGCTTGTTGCTGGTAAGAAAATAATCTCATAAAATCACAGGAGCTTCCCCAAAGGATAAGGACGTTATGATGTTTACAATAGCAGAGTTATTATTTGTTCATTTAGGCTTCATCGTTCAATCTTGGGTGAGCTCCTTCCTTCTTAACCATAGCAGGTCTTACAGCTCCCTTCAGGCTCTCGGAGTTCTATTAGAAGAAACAATTTCAGATTTATTAGTTCATGAGTTCAAAAGTACAGACTCCTGACAATACTGGAGTTTTAGGTGTGAACACTGAATTCAGAATCTTTTGTACAAGGGCAGGCTGAATGAGGGGACCCTAGTACTTGGTCGGCAACAGCTCCGATGACCTGCTCTTTCTCACAAGCTATAACTTGTCCATTGGGTCTTCTGATGCTTTGAATGGACAAGAGAAGGATGAAAATGCTATCAGCTGCCAAGTGTTGCCTGAGATTTTTTATTTAATTGTTAAGTGGATCTTTCTCTCTATTTTTATTGTTTTTATCCATATATATGCATTTTTTATGGGGACTTTCAAATATTGTACACATTTCACAAAATGGAGTACGTTATGAGACATCCCCTGGCAGATAGAATTGGGATATGAAGTGTTTCCAAAACTTAGCAGAACTAAAGCATCTATAGGAAAGCTGTTTCTACCTGATTAGCTGTTTGCCTCTTCTGCTAGCAGCATGGCAAAGAGAAAAGGCTAGAGATTAAGAGTTGGAAGACCCAGGAAATCTCCATGTTCTATGGAAAGAAGGAGACTCTGGGGGCCAAAATCTCCACCTTCATTTTCTAGCTGCAAGTGAGGATAGTAATTATTCCTCCCAGGGAAGTTTTGAGGATAAGTTAGATTGTAGGTGAAACATACTACAAGAATATACTATGTTAGGTCCAGAATTATTATCAGAGTATTATTTATGTTACATGATAAAATTCCAACTGGTTGAAGGCTCTGCCAGCCTTTGATTTCCAGCTCTCTTGAAGTGCTGATGGCTCACTGTCATCTCGGGCCACCAGTGGGATTGTTATGGCAACTCATGAGATGTCCTCAACTCTCGGTGACCTTCCCTGGCTAAAAACAAATGTGCAGTCACCTCTAAGATGGCAGCATCCTTCAGAATTCTGGCCCTTCTTTCTCCCAGTTCCCTCATTGCAGCAGCATGCACGGTGTATTTACATCTACGGGGCCCTGTTAGATTCTGGGGAGAAGCAGGTGAAAGAAGTGGCCTCAAGTCTACCACCCGTTGGACAGACAGATCTGAGGTTACAGAGAGACGATAAGCAGGAGGTGCGCGTGTCCTGGCATCAGGGGTGGGATCAGGAAAAGTTTCCTAGAGAAAAAAATCCCGAATTAGCCAGACACAGAAGGTAGAGGTGAGGGAAGGTGGTTGGGGAGGTACTGCAGGCAGAGGAAACAACATGTATAAGAAGGAGAGGTTTCTCAATGTAAACATAGCAAAAATAATAATAATAACAGCATTTGATTTTTATGGTAAGCCTATTATGGGCCAGGTCTTGAACAGACACTTGAAGCCCATCGGATCCCTTGCTCCTCACAGCGACCCCAGGGAGCGAGGCACCATTACTCCCATCGTATAGTTCAGGAAATTGAAGCTTACAAATAGTTAACTCTCATAAGATCATGGAACCAGCAAAGAGGTTTGAGCAGGACTTGAATCCAGACAGTCTTCTCTCCAAATGTGTATTCTCTGCATTTCCTGGCTTTCTGAGCTGGATATTTTTATCTGCCTTTTTCCATTGTCTTTAGGCATTTTTCTCGATTCTGTGACCCTGTTCAGTCAACTCGTTGGTCTGTTTCTTGCCTTGCATAATAAAACAATACAATTGTATGTCCTGGGGATTTAAACCATGACACCTAGCTGCCTCGTGTGACAAACATAGTGGGGCATAAATGACAGTGGTCAGCTCTTCCACATCAGCTCTGCTCCTTTTGCCCAATTTCCCCAAAGAGCACTATCAGTTAAATTGCCCACAGAGAGCCCTTTCCCTAGAAGCCACCAGAGCGACAAACCTTCTCCATCGCTATTTTTGCATTTGGCAGCTTTTGAGTGGATCCCTCTGCTTGTCTCGCAAGACCATTACTTGTCCGTAGTTTTGTGTCTCCACCTGGCCCTGTCCCATCTCTTTTGCCCAGGGCTTCTTTCTCTTGCTTGCTCTAGAGCGTAGGATGTGATTGTTGGTAGTTCCGTGATTGCAAGCTTACTCTGGATCTGTGTGAGCGCTTGGTAACGTAAAACAGAACACCTTTGGGTATATGTCCATTTTTTCCCCTTTTAAGTCACACGGTGGGGGGAGTACACTTACATCTTATGTAGGTCCAAGAACATAGGAGCTTCAAGGATGTGACAAAGACTCTTTTACCAAACGGCATGGTGCATTCTTTATTGAGCTTCCACTTAACTGAAAATGAAAACGTCTGGGTTGGGAACAAAAGGAGCCCTATAGGTGCTGTAATTATACCCTGAATCTCTTGGGCTGGTCTTCCAGCTCTTGATGGAGTCTTCTCTGGTCTTTGTTCTGCGCAGACCCAGAACAGAATGAAGCTGATGGCAGATAACTATGACGAGGACCACCACCATTACCACCACCACCACCACCACCACCACCACCGGTCTCCTGGGAGGTCGCAACATTCCAATCACAGGCCCTCTCCCGACCAGGTCAGTTTCATTGCCGCTTACCTCCAGGACCCCTTTTACCCTTTGGATATTTTAAGATAAAATAAATAATCCTCAAGAAATAATAAACAGCATAAAGTGATACGTCCTTTGAACTGAAACTAATAGCTTTGGTATTTATTTCCATCACTCAAGGAGTCTAAATGTTTTCCTTTCTCCTTCCTCTTTAGGGTTTTGTCTGTTCTTGTTTATGTTATGCATTTTCTTTCCTCCCCTCCTTTCTATTTTCATAGATATGAAGTCTATTGCTGGCTCAGTATCTAATAGTGGGTTACTTTGGAATGTCTCTTTCAGAGTTTTAAGAGAAAGCACTTTGTTTCCATGAGCATGGCAACCAGAGAAGCCTTGAGTTTGCTGAGCACTTTCCTAGAAAATTCCTTAGGGATGCAAATTAATGGTGGGGTAAAACAACACGAAGAGAAATCAGTTTTGCTTGCATTTTAGCTGGTGAAGTCAAGGGGTCTGGTTTATTTGATTTGGACCCTATCTTCTCCCTTGACTAAGTGAAGCAAGTGAAAAGATGGATTGACAAAAACAAAAATCTCCTGTGGTCCTCAATGATATTTGCATTCACCCACCAAATATAAAAACTGTTGACAGTGCCTAGGATGAAAACTCCTGAAGATGAACATCATAGAAATTACGAAACTAAATGCAAAGTAGCAGGTTAATAGGGTCAATGTTAGCAGTATTTCCTCCTTTATTGTACTATGAGCTTCTTGTGTGTGTGATCCTAGTATAACTTACACAATAAACTTCAGAGGAATGGGGCCATAGGTAATGGAATAGAATCATCTGGATAAGTGTGAATGCCTTTGTTATATACTTCTGGGTATGTGAGGGGGCAGGCTTACTGGAATTACCTGTGTAAAGAGAGGTTTAACTGTTTGTTGGAAGAGGAGGTGCTTATATCTCCTAAGATGTTTTTCAGATGGCTCTGTTTCCTATGCACCTCATGTCACTAGTATCCCAAAGGAGAAGTTAAGATTGCAAGTCTCCAAGATGTTTTACCAGGAGTACAACTCCAGGGGGAGCCATTTATATAGAATGCAACATAAGAAATGCTCCCTGGAGCTGTACAGTGAAGTAGCTCCAACCCAGAAGCCCCCTGCCCCTGACACCCAGCTTTGCCCTACCTTGTATTGGGAAGCATTTGCCCTCAGAGACCCCAACACTGCAGGTGTTCATATAGGACATCTAGTTTTCTGAAGCCAAGTACAGAAAGGCACCAGTTCATGTTATTAGCTTTCAAAATGGTTCTTAATTTGGCAATCAGCAAAGTAGAGAGAGATAAATTTCATGTCATTATCTTCATGCCTGTGGTTTTTGCTTTGATTTCGCTTTATTTTTTCAAATCTCATCCCTTGCCATTACCACCACCTCCCCTGCACTCACCCATCCTAGTGTACCTGGCATTCTACCAACGAAACATCTTCATTCTTGTTCTTGGTCCCTGCCTCTTGGCACACTGCCCTTTGCTCCTTGACCTTCTCCCAGGAAGGGTAAATGTGAGGTTTTATTGGTGCTAGAAGGCCACCCTGGGCTTTCTCCCAGAGAGATAGGAGCAGAGAGCACTACAGAGGCAGAAAGAAGGATTTGGAGCCCAACTGGGGGAGGGATTCACACAAGGACCTTCTGAGATAACAAACAGGTTTGTTTCATGACAGAGACACATATGTTAATATGTCCTGCTAGAAACTGGATGCCAGATCAAATTTATCTGCCTGGTGAATGATATTTCACACAAAAGCTAGTCTCCTGCTGCTTTTCCAGAGATCATTATTAAATCCAAAATAGAGGTCTTGCTGGCTTGGTTGACCCTCTTATGTTTGTCTACCAACACTAGAGGTTGTCATAGGGCAGAAATCATTGCTCAAAGGCAATGCCCTTCCCAGAAGAGTTAGCATCCCTTGAGAAGTATCTGGCTAAGATGTGTCAACAGGACTTCTGATACACCTTTGTCATTGCTACTCTTAGGAGGATGGTGATGGTCTTCCACTTTCCCATCCTTCATCTCAGTGACCACTCTAAGTAACCCACTGACATAGAGGCAGATAACCTCATCGTCTTCTACAAGTGAGAAATTGAGGCCCTGGGAGGGGTGGTGGTGGACTGACCTGAGTCCTGCTTCTGGTTATTTGCTCACTCAGCTAATACTTGGAGCACATATTCCATGCCAATTACTACCCTGGCCTTGGGAAAGAACATGATGGACAAGACAGAACCCTTGCCTTCAGGGAGTTTGCTGTCTAGTCTGAAGACAAAAATCCAGGTGTCGTTCAGTTTTTTTCTGGATCATGTCAATCAGAACATGAATTGAAAAGATAGCTATGACTTAACTAGGGGCCCATGACTTAGGAACTCACTCTACAGTGAAGTTCACCTTGAAAGTGACATACCCTTGACCAGAAGGATAACTTTGCATTTTTTTTTTAAAGATTTTATTTATTTATTTGACACAGAGAGAGACAGCTAGAGAGGGAACCCAAGAAGGGGGAGTAGGAGAGGGAGAAGCAGGCTCCCACTGGGCAGGGAGCCTGATGTAGGGCTCGATCCCAGGACTCCAGGATCATGACCTGAGCTGAAGGCAGACGCTTAACTACTGAGACACCCAGGTGCCCCTAACTTTGAGGTTTTAAACTGGAGTCAGCAAAGCTGTAAGGCTTCTTTGCTACACTCTTTCAATTAGAGAAAAGAGAATTGACTAAGAAGACCTGCATGAGTAGGTTGATTCCAGTTAGGAAACGACAAGATCCTCTGGGCTAGTGACCTTTTTGACTAGGAGTCTCAGGTCTAGGGTAACCATACCCTCTGTTATAATCACCAACAGCTCATATGCTAATATATGGGTTGTTATAAAACTAAGTTCCAGAACGTCACAGTCATCAGAAGGCTGGGAAGTCTTTCCCAAATGTTTACAAACTCTATATATAATAGTGCAAGCATATATTCTAATATGTACAGAGTAGAGCTACTTCTCAGGAGAAAGTGACAGCCTTATAGTGACAGCTTAAGAGTCTGAACAATGGCCTGATTTGGATGGGATTTAAACTAAATGTTCATAATGTACCCATGTTAACTGAACTGACTTAAAGGGGAAAGGTCTCTTCCAAGGGATTCCTGATTTCCTTCCAGCCCTGACTTTTCCTATGGCCTGAGGGTTGACCAACAATATCTTCTGGAAGAGGGACTACAGAATGTTGCCATTGTCTCTTGAGCTTTACTAGAAGATCAGAACACATGAAAATAAAGAAATAGAAGAAAACTAGTCACTTTGCTACTTTTCCAGAGAAATTCATTTTTCCTTAGGAAATTCAATTTAAGTATTGCTGGGCACTTGCAGAATTAGATTCTTTTTCCATTTCTTCCCTGTCCCTTTCTCCTTCACTATGATTCTGCTTTCTCCTCAGGAGAAACTGAATCCAAGGGTTATAAGTCTAGACAAGCATTTCCCAAAAGTAACTTTTGGAACATTAGTCCCAGGAGGAAAGTTTTGAGACAAAGATTCGGTGAGTAAAGAATTTGGGGAAAATGCTGCATATTATAACTCAATCTTAGAGAGTCTTGGTGCAATTAACAGATCAAAGGATCTAAAAAGTCATATAAGAAAGAAAGCTCTCCAATTTTATTTAATCCAGCATTTCCCAGACTTATTTGATCATAGAATCTTTTTTTTTTTTTTCTTTTCTTTTCTAGTAACATCTGTGCTCTGAGAAATACTATTCTCAGAGTATCAGGTGAAGAAAGAGACTACCCGGTTTAAAACATAGCTGATCCAGTTTCCAGCAGTTTTGCATCAGAAGGTGGAGATTTGAGGCAATTTCTGCTATGCCCTGTATAGCAGAAAATGAGAATGCCTCTTTCATTCATTTCTTGGGATACCTATAATGTCTGAGAATGAGTTATCCCACCAAAAATCCAGTAATCTGAACTAAGGAAATCATTATAAGGCTGAGGACCCAGGAAAGCAAGGATAATCGTAAATGCACAGCTCCTCAGAAATTGAAAATGAATGTGATGAGGGGAAGGGACAATTTGGAGAACACATAAGAGAAGTCGGTAAGATGTGGCAGTCCAACAGCCCATACCCTTACCTGAGAAAGGAGCAGGTATGGTACTTGGAGGCCTACGACCCCATGATGGCCATAGCCATTGAAATGTCCGAGTAGATCATTCAGACAAATCCTAGTAATAATACCTTAGGAAATTTTTCAAACCAAGAGGTGGGCACAGATATTTCCAAAGCGAGACAACAAATGGTTCCCAGGACACAAGCTGCTGATAAGCTTTGAGGAACAACAAAAACCAAAGGATAAGTGGAACATGCTGGAACCACACTCGTGATTTTATTTTCAGTGAAGTGACCAAGATTGACTTTAGAAAAGCTAAGTGGAAACTCAACTTCTCCCAAATGCCCTCTGTACCTGTCCCTGGTATCTGTTATTTTGTCAAAGGAGCATCTTTCTTTGCCATATCAATTATGTCAAGTCTTTTTACTATTTTCCAGGCATCATATGATTTTTATGGTCCCAGGAAAAATCGTATTTTATTAATCTCCTAATGGCTTCCAGATACGAAGAAAAGCAGAGCATCGGAGTGAACTCCACACTCCAGCCAACTCAAAATGCCAGGCCTCGTTCAGGCTGCCCTTGGGCATCCAAGACTCACATTCCTGTGCCTGGGTCTTAGGGTGGGCTTTGGGTCTTTAAGGACCTAGATCTCACTGCTTTTTTGTGCAAAATGTGCTTCCATTTGTTAAAGCGTCTGCCACTCTGATTCTAATTCGTCGGGGCCTAAATGGCAAAATCCTAAACATTTTTTTTCGCCTGGAAGCCTCAGAATATATGGCCACTTTCCAAGCCCAGAATTTGCTTCTCTTCTCTCTCCCTCGTTTTTGAATGGAAATGCTCACTCGCAGGAGTTGAGAAGCTCAAGGACTTTTGATTAATTCGAAGACTTTCAGATCCCATTTAAAATTTAAA